GTGTTGCTTCTATCTTTTAGCTATTGTGCATAATGCTGCTATGAACATGGATGTTCAAATACCTGGTCCCTATATTTAATTTTTTTTGGGGGGGCAAAGTTTTTATTTAATTGATAAGTAATTATATATAATCAATATACATATATATGTATATTATATATGAGGTTAAAATGTGATGTTTTCTTATGTTTATCTGTTTTAAAATATACACACACGTGCCCACCCCCTTGGGTGGAGGTCGTGGGTTTGGATTCCTATTTGTCTTTGAGCAATAAATTGTTAGAGTCAAAAGACATTTGGGGCAACTTTCTAGACCATGCTAGTGATGATGTGAAATTTGAAGGAGACTGAAGGTGGGTATCTTAGAGGGCAGTGGATCTTTCAGACACTTCTAATTTCGATGGAAGCAAAACACAATGCTCTTTTTTGGTTTCAGCTATTAGAGGTTGCCTCTTTAAGCTGTTCTCTCTAGCCTTCCAAATGGAAAAGATGAGGAAAGAAGTTGGAGCAGGGAAGTGGAAATTCTTGCTCATTTACCTTTCAGATATTCATTTTGTTCTCACTTCCTGGTAACTCAAGTGAACACAGCCCAGTTGGGAGTCAGAAATTTACAGAACTTCACCTTGTAAGCCAGCCAAGTTGGTCAGGATGAAAAATACTCATAGTGTTTACTAGGATCTATTATGGGCCCAAGGACATGAGTTCATGTTCCCCAACATGCATTTAAACATCAGGCTCAAGGAAATACTATTTTGCCCCTTTGACTGATGAAGGAGCAGGTTCAGACAAGTAACTCACTCAAGGTCACAGTGAGCTTGGGACGGCCCTGGGAAAGAGTTCACACAGTCAGCGAGTTAGGACATGAATTAGGTCTTATTTAGAATCACTCTGCTTCCCCTGACATTGTCTTGCCTTCTAATCTTTGCGCTCAAGTCAAACTTAGAAAGTTTTAACCTAGAAGCATTTTGGTGCTGGGGTAAAAGCAATGAAGAAATGAGAGTTTAAAGGAACTGTCTATCTTAAACTGTTTGATTTTCATCCCTAATGGTAACTTCAGCAAATATAATAAATATTCAATACACAGAGGTGATATTTGCATTACTAATTCAGAAATATTCATGATTAAAGATCAAATAACCAATCCCTAATGTACTCTCGTAAGGTTCATCTTAAACCAGTGATTAAATGTCAGATACTTGAATATCTACAGGACTTAACAACTAGATCCTCTGATCTTTTCATATTTTAGTGACTAAGGTATCCAAACTTTGTAACAGTGAATTTCAAAGGAATGTTCACATTGACTTATTTCACTGGAATGTTAAGGTATTTAACAATTGGACCATAACTGGCAGGCTGGAATGGGGAAATTAATGAAATACAGTAGTAGTTCCCCCCTTATTTGTGGTTTAGCTTTCTTTGATTTTAGTTGCCTGTGGTCAGAGAATATTAAATGGAAAGCTCAACAAAAACATAACTCGTAAGTTTTAAATTGGACGCCCATTCTGAGTAGCATGATGAAATCTCCTACTATCTATTCCTTCAGTGCCCAGCACATGAATCATCCCTTTGTCCTGTGTATCCATGCTGTATATACTACCCACCTGTTAGTCACTTAGTTACTTTCTAGGTTATAAGATCAGTACTTGTGGGTAGGATTTGGTACTATCTGAGGTTTCAGGTATTCACTGGGGATCTTGGAACTTATCTCTGGAGGATAAGGAGGGCCTACTCTAGTTCTTATTTGCAGTCTCGTTAGAGATAAGGAATTTATTAGGTAAGGATCTTGCCACAATCTCTTGTCTGTAAATTCTGGCATTAAAGCTCTGGGATAAGCAGGTTTTCGCACATGTGTGATACAGAAATAACTGACATAGTCTATGATGAGGTTTACAGCCCATTAATGTTCTTCAAGTACCTCCAAATCATCAAAGGAATATTAAATTATGTCACACATACTTTTATTATTCAGGCACTTTATTAAATTCAGACTCCAAAATGAATAATTCCTATAAAGGTTATACATTAAACTCAATATGTGACTATCCAGAGGGCCCCCTTCTGTGATCATCCAAATAATCACTTGTTGAGTCTTATAGCATTAAAAAAAAAAAAACAACACATATTTTGCAGAATTCTGGTGGAAACTGATTATTCTTACAACATTGATAATTTCCTTCCTTCCTTCCTTCCTTCCTTCCTTCCTTCCTTCCTTCCTTCCTTCCTTCCTTCCCAGGGATTGATTAAACTCAGGGCGCTTAACCACTAAGCCACATCCCCAGCCCTTATTAAATATATATGTATATATTTTTTCAAGAGACAGGGTCTAAATAAGTTAAAGGGGCCTTGCTAAGTTTCTGAGGCTGGCTTTGAACTCCATGATCCTCCTGCCTCAGCCTCCCAAGCCTTTGGGATTACAGGCATGAACCACCACACCCAACTAACAACGATCATTTCTAAGTTGAGATTGCTGTATTTTTCCTTTAAGTTGTGGGTTCATTGGAAGAAAATCCAGTGAAGTCAGATTCATCAATGTCTCCAATCAGATATCAATTGATTTTTATAGGCAGAGGGAAATATTGCACTGTCATTTGGTCATCAAAAAAGTAATCAAAACTATAGATTTTCTGAGTGTATTGTACAGGCACTACACACTAGCTCTACAGAAGGACCATAGGATTATGGATGTTGGTGTTTAGAGGAATCACCTTGGGGAAAGGTGCTTATGTGACTGTCGACTCCATGATAAATGGGTAGTGGGAGGATGTGTGGCCTGCCTTGGATGGGTCACTGGTGGTGTCTGTTGCTCACACCTATCTTTTTGATATTGACACTGCCTGTGGGACTTGTCCCTTTTCCCTCTGTCACTACAAGTGTTTCTTTCCCTCTTTTGTCCTTTGCCTCCCTTTGTACTGCAGACCTCAGCTGCCTCTCCTCACCCTCTTCCCAGGCCACTCTGGGCTGCCCTGTGCCCAATCACTGACAGCTGAATGAGGACGAGGGCAAGTCCAGGAGACTCTCTTCCCTGTGCGTTTCCTGGGCTCTGAGCTGCTCGGCTGTAAAGAGGCACCTGTGCCTACTGGCGCCTGGCACACCATGGGGCTTGATGAATTGTTGAGCCAATGGATGAGTGAGATGAACCCAGAAGGTGCTGGTTTTCTTTTTCCTTCCTTCTCCTTTGCTGCTTTTCTCCAGGACCTTTTGAAGTTGGTCCATTGGGACAAACAAGGATGGGAGGATTCTCTCCCAACTGATAGGAAACACAGCTGCCACCCCCTCAGTCTTTTGAGGAGCCCTCTCCACACCCCATTTTCATGTTCTGTCCAGATGAGGGTGAGGATGGAGAAGGGGCAAATAAAGAACTAAGCAACACCCTGGTCCACATTTTTAACCCCACCCATTCCCTTGGTATGTATGCTCCTTCTCCATTCCCAGCCTCTTCCTTCCTCCATCACAGACCTGCACCCCCTTTTCCTGCTCTGGAACACTCCAGTTCTTTGTCCCCCACCAACCCCAGGACCAGCCCTCCAGCGACCACCCATGCAGAAGGGTTTGGGAGGCGGAGATGACTTTCAGAGCCTGGTGAAATAGAATGCAGGAAACATTTCAGAGGCTCCATCAGGAGCCACAGTCTACAAGCTCTCAAAAATCAGGCCTGACAATCCAGCAGAAAGATAATGGCACAGATTTCTAAGAAATCAAGCTGGGAGGCAGCCAAGCAGAAGCTGTGTTTTTCTGCCTCGGGGTGGATATTGTCCAGCGCGCTCTTGACCCGCGCTTGGTCGCTGTCTTGTAAGCCGGCCTCTCCGTGGGGTTGTGGGAAGTGGGTACCGGGGAGGAAGGCCAAGTCGGTTGTGTGGCCACAGCTCCCTGCGGCCACCCTTGGCTTTCCAAGGCTGTGATTTTCATGTCAAGGCGTGGGAAGGACAACCCCTCGGAAAGAAACGCCCGGAGCTGTCTGCTCGCCACCAGATAGAAGAAGCAACCACGGTGCAGCCAGCAGAGCTGTCAGCTCAGCCAGCCGGTTCACTCCAGCAGATGCTCACAGCTGTGTCAATGGGGAGCCAGCTCCGTGTTTCAGAGGGACTGTGGCAAAGGCGTCCTCCAGCCGCCGGCTGCCATTCAGCCTGTCTGCATTCACACAGCATCCGAGCTTGTAGTTAGAAAATTAGCCATCTCCTGGAGGAAGCTAATTTGCACTTGGATCTTTTTTTTTTTTTTTTTTTTTTTTTATAGCAACGGAGGTAGAGACATGGAAAGGCTGCTTGGAAAATTTGTAGGGCAGGGAGACAAAGCTAACATGTTAGCTGACAGAATCGAGACTCAGAAAGATCTTTCTAGGCCGGAATATTGAACTAAAACCAAAGAGGCTAAATTTAATGAGGATATCGGGGGGGAAAAAATCCAACAGTAGTTTTATGTTTTTAATTGTGCATTGTCTGAGAGTTGAGGACATGTGAATTAGGAATGGTTCATATGAATATTGGTTGATGTGTCATCTGCAGAGGGGGCTGGGTCTATTTTGGGATTAGAGGGGGAAGTAAGAAAGAGAAGGAAAGGAAAAATCCCAAACCTACTAGTTAAAAAGTATGAATCCACAGAGAAGACCTATCCAGTTCTACTCACTGAGTTTAGTTCTCAATCCAGAGGGACTGAGAACTCTTACAGCTTCAAATGAAGCTGTTACCAGTTTCTGGTCCCAAACGATAGATAGAATTGGTCATCATCTAGTAAAGACTCCCCTGAGAGCCAAGAATTGATATTAAACCACCCTAAGGACCGTGGCTACCTTTGAGTTGTACACTGGACCCTCAGCCAATCAGCTATGACCAGGAGATTTACTTATACTGTCCAAAAATATGGTGACCTCTGAAAGGATACATTTTATGGGACTTCCCACAAAAGGTCCGTGGCTGTGGTAGGCATATATCCAATATATTCTCATTTTAACTGAGGTGGGAGAGCATATTACAGTCCTAATTATCTCTGCTTTCTCATAGGTATGTGGAACTGACCAACTACTGTGATTATAAAGACTACAGGGAAACTATATTGAGCAAACCAATGCTGTTTTTCATTAATGTACAGACCAAAAAAGACACCTCGAAAGGTAGGTACATACATAATTTTGGTGTGGTTCTGCTTGCTGGGCTGTGGGCTGTTGCAGGCTGATGAGGGAGGAGTGAGGCATGGACAAAGCAGGATAGATGTCAGCTCGTGACAAAATCAGCAGCAAGGAGCCTGGTGTCTAAAGCACTGCTCAGGCTTTTGGAACAAACCCCAATGATCCTAGAGCAGAAGCCACCCATCTCTGAACTTCTTTCCTGTTTCCTGTCCAGGCAGGAAGTAGTCTGACATTCTGAGCCTTCAAGGGTTTCTAAGCCTGGAGCCATGAGGATCATCCAACTATATGTCCGAGGCACACTCTAATGTCATTATTGGCACTGTAGGTCTATAGGTCTTAACATCCAAATGGGGACATTTTGAGCATGAAAGTCTTCATAGTTAGTAATCTCGGTCAAAGACATAAACTGAGATTGACTCAGAAAAGTAGGGTACATGGTTATCCTACCTATGAAGTACATATACTATCCCTATTTTATAGATGAGGAAACTAAGATAAAATAAATTGCAGTTGTAGATGCTTCAAGTTTCATGTTTCTGTATTTTAGACACAGAATTTCATGTTTAGACACATCTCATCATTGTTTCTTCCAAGAAAGCAGATTAACTGGTAACGACTCTATAACTCAAATTCCAATATGAGCATGTCTCCATTTTCCCATTTTCTTCCTGCTCAGAGCGACACATGGGTAAACTCATGGGAATAAGGTTCTGTGGTAAGGGTAGAATTTCTTCAACCTGCTTCTAAATGTCATTCTTAAAATGAGTCCAAGGTAATAAGAAATGATCTACAAATTTCAGATAGACTTTCTCAAGCATTCACTCTCATCAGACTGGGGAAGTTCTCTCTGCTCATATCATAATTCACAGTCAGGACACTCTCTCTCTCTGCAGGAGAGGCCAGAACAGAATGCACATAACAAACAGCGCCTGTTTGAGTATCTGAGCCCTGCGTGTCCTTTGGCTTGGTGATGACCAGAGAGCCAGTAGTTCTCTTGGAGTATAATTCACAGCTGTGTCAAGTACACTTCCCGCATTGATCTCTCAGGAGGAAAGAATGAGTGACCTCTCCATTTTAACATTTTGAAAGTATAGGATGGTACAAAAAGGTCCTTGTGGGGAGTCCTACAGAAAGTACACAGCTGTAGCACGATTGTTGTGGAAGGAAGTACAGAATCTGGTTAATTTTGAGAAAAGTTATAAAATGAAGATATTTTTATAGGATAGAAATGTAAAGTGATAACGTTTAGAAACTTGTGAAAATTGCAACTAAGGTAACTTGTCTGCCCTGCCACTGTTTTAAACTGCACTTATATGCAAATTAAAAAAGCCACCACTTCATTAAGACAATCACTAATGATTTCCAGAATTTTGGCATAATAAATACACAAACAGACCTGTCTGAAAATGTGAAGGGCCTCCTCTGCAGTTGTGTAGTGCACAACCTGCCCACCCAGCCCAACTGGGGAACATGGTAACCCTGGGTCTTTAGAGTCTAAATATTGTGGTTTATTTGTATAAAATACAACAAATTACAAATGGTTTGCTTTTTGCTTTATTTTATTCATTTATTTGTTTTTGATACCAGGGATTGAAGAGGTTCTTAACCACTGAGCCACATCCCCAGCCCTTTTTTATATTTTACTTAGAGACAGGGTCTTGCTAAGTTGCTTAGGGCCTCATTAAGTTGCTGAGGCTGGCTTTGAACTCACAATCCTCATGCTTCAGCCTCCAGAGCCACTGGGCTTTTATTTATCTCTTGTCTCCCAAAAGATATAAGATTATTTACATCTGAAATACCCAAAAAATAATTTGGAGGAAGGCAAACAAGTAGGAAAAATAAGAAGATTCTTTGAGAATGCAAACATGTGTTATTGGCACTCGTTTGTTATTGCCTCTGAGCCATCTCAAAGCCAGTACCAAATGCTCAGTTCTCGAAATCACTAGGAGATTTTGTGAATGGCTGGTCCATGCCTTTAAACAGTGTGAAGTGGGTTTTCTGGTTTCTCCTTCAGGTATGTGCTTGAGTGATTAAAGTCATGGAGCTTCATTTTGGGGACTAGAAGAGTAAGAGATTCCAAATTTCCTAATAAGTAAACAACCTCCCCTTTGCTTATATTATGCAAGTTGAATCGAATCAGACTTAAGGGGTTAATAATACAAAACAAGATAAAAATAAAACAATAATAACAGGGGGAAGAAGTGTCTTCCAGGACAGAGATGTGGTGCTATTTAAACACTGAGAAAGATACTTTTTCTCACTTGAGATGATGTTGGGTCAGGAGCAGGAAGGAGAACCAATCATGAGTTGCCCTGATGCTTAGAACCCTAGCCTCGCCATTTGGCAGGAAGAACGCTGGGGGTGGAAGGCACAGAGTAGTTTTCTTCCCTGGACTTAGCTGATTTTCTGCTGTGCAAATGAGAAAGTGTTGGTGAGAGCCAAGTTGTGATTTAAATGTGCAGCAAGGCTGGGTCATAAAAACCGTTTTCTTTTCCCATGCTGGATACGTGCTGTGGGAGCACAGTTCTCATTTGCAATAATTATAGAGTGGGACTTTTGATTTCTGAGACATAAGTGCAAGCTGCAACTTGCTTCTACAGTAGCCCAGAGCTCCTTTCAAATCTGCAGAACTCTCTGGAACATTTCTAGAAATCTGGCTAGGTGTTGTGGTAAGGGTCTCAGGAAGCAGAGAGGGAAGGTTATCAATGGATAAAATCTCCAGAGAAGGTGGAGACCCCTGCTTCAGCAAATCCCGAGAAGGATGTTTATAACACAAGTATATACTTTTGAATTCTGCTTGCTGATTTCTAGAAAGGACCTATGCATTTCTTGTGAACACAAGGCACCCCAAGATAAGAAGACAGATAGAACAGGGGATGGACATGGTCATCTCCTCAGTGATCGGAGAAAGTTACCGACTTGAGGTAAGACTTAGCCTGTGAATCCAGGGCTCCCAGCCACACGGAAGAGGCCCAAGAACTCCCTGCAAGAACTGTGTCTCTAGGGCCTTCTCTGAACTACAGTAAGCGGCCAAGATCACACGGATGCCTGGAACTTCACAGAATACCACACGTTATGTAACTATGTTCTGTTCTATACCTACCTAAGACGGAGTTTAGCTTTAAATTAGCTTCAGAAAGAGATTAACAACAACTAATAATAAAATCCATCAATTCCAATAATAATAATAATAGAACAATAGTAGTAAATAATAATAATAAAGTTATTTAAAACATAAATCATCCTTCTGGAATTTTCCATTTACTATTTTCAGACCATAGGTAACTGCAACTGCAGAAAGCAAAACCATATTTTGTTCTTTACTACATCATTATTGCTACCAATAAAGTGAGCTTAGTTTCTCTTTTCTTTAATTTTTTTTTTTGTAGCTGTAGATGGATAGCATGCTTTTATTTTATTGGTTCATTTGTTTATGTAGTGCTAAGGATTGAATCCAGTGCCTTACATGTGCTAGACAAGCACTCTGCCACTGAGCTACAGCCCCAGCCCCCAAACAAACTTAGTTTCTACTATCAACTTATTAGAAACAGAATATTAATACATGTAATTTTGGCCAAGCAGTTCAAAATCTTATGATACAAAAGCAAAGGTCTGTTTTTTTTTTTTTTAAATAAAGACAACTGTTAAAAGGTATCTGTCAGAATGAAAGAGAGAATGTCATATTTTGGAGATTTGGGTAGTTTTTATTGATTCTAAAATGTCTACATGGTAATTATATCCACAAAGTCAATTAAATGTTTCTCTGTCTTTCAGTTTGATTTCCAAGATGTAGTGAAGAATTTTTTCCCTCCAGGAACTGAGGTGATTAATGGAGAAAATTTGAGTTTTGCGTATGAATTCAAAGCCGACGCCTTATTTGATTTCTTCTATTGGTTTGGGCTCAGCAATTCCACTGTGAAAGTGAATGGTAAAGTTCTGAATTTGTCGAGTACAAGTCCAGAAAAGAAGGAGACAATTAAGTTATTTTTGGACAAAATGAGTGAACCTTTAATCCGAAGGAGCAGTTTCTCTGACCGAAAATTCAGTGTAACTTCCAGAGGTATGTTAAAAATCCTCAAGGACAGGAGGATGCTGATCAATTAAAGGGTGAAAGAGGCAATGGGAGGGAGCAAGAGGCAAGACTTATTAATAAAACAGAAACATAACGTCACCTGATTCAGAAAGGACTGAAATGGCTCTCACCAAAACCAGAAGCCAGGCAGGGTTAGCATGCACCTGTTGTCCCAGCTACCTGGGGCACTGTGAGGGTTGCTTGAGTCCAAGAGCTGGACACCAGGCTGGGCAAGAGAGCAAGACGCGGCCTCAAAAAAAAAAAAAAAAAGAGAGAGAAGAGAGATAAAAGGACTTTTCCTTTTAGTCTTCTGACATAATAATTACATTGTGCAGCCTACCTCAAAAATAATCTTAAAGAATATCATTAATTCAAATGAATATTAATGCCCAATTAAATATCATTGGCTTCTTAACATTATAAAATAATGCTTCTTTCCCTGTGTGCATATTCTGGACCACAGAATGTTCACTTAAGCTGCCAGTCGGGGAAGTCTAGATGGTCGTGGTATCTATCTTTAACAATTCGTAGAAGGGTTCTCCAGATTTTGTAAGACCACAAAAGAAAAAAGAATAACTCTTGAGAAGGTTTCATTTAATCAACTAGCAATGGCATATGGTGGATTCTTGATTTTGGTATCCACGCGGCTCATGCAGATGGCACGGATCATGTCTTGTCTGAGCCTGTCTTTTGCGTAGCCCGTTCTCTCTGCCTCATGCTAGTCTGGGCTGGAGAGCAGCTTCCTTGAATCGGGATTCTTGTTGCTAATTGCAGGAAACCAACAGTCTCTGTAAACTTGCAGTGTCCTCAAAGTGAAGATGGGAAATAGAGATTTTTCATTAATTGTGTTTAATGACAGTTGCTTTCTTCCAATGTTTATAGCAAAAACTCTTACTCTCAGCTGTTTCTTATTCTAGAAGTGATCCTTCTCTTAATTCCTTCATTTCTCCTTCTCTCCATCCCACTCTCTGTTAACGTCTGTCTCTTTATCTCTGTTCTCTGTGTTTCTCTGAACCTCTCTCTCTCTCTCTCTCTCTCTCTCTCTCTCCCCTCCCCACCCGCTCCCTCTCTGTCTCTGTTCCTCTGCAGACCTCTGTCTCTCATGCTTTCCATATTGTTCTAATCCATATTCCTCTGTCTGGGACTTTGTCACCAATAAGCTTTGCGCTCTGCTGCATTGCAGCCATGTGGAGACGGTCCCTTACGGGACAAGATTAACTGGCCCTTCTGTGACAGCATCACCCTTGTCCAGTCCTTCTCTGGTACCCTCAGTCTCACCCAGTGGCCACAGCAGCCTGGATAACTTTCCTGTTTCACTGTGGCTGTTCTCTGGCATGTAACCTACCTCTGGTGTCCACTGTCATCTTGGGGACACCAAAGTGCATGTGAAGTTGGCAGCAGTTCTTTGAAAGTTTACCCTGGACCATCCCTGAGTCCACTTCAACTCCTGACCAGAGCTTCCTGAGAGCTGTCACATGCACTGCAGATGGCATAGCTGAGATGTACCTGCTGGCCTGGCAGGCAGACTGAACTTGGCTCCCAGCCCCTGGGCAGAACACCAAACCCCTGATGCTGCTAATACAGCTTCATCCTGTTTACAAACTGACCTCTGGCCTGAGCATCTATTTTTCAAATGTGAGACTTTTCTGTTAAGTGAGAGAGTGTATGAAGCCCATTGCAAATCTCCAGCCTGCAGGAAAGCAAGTGACAATCATGTCCCGCTGATAAACAAAAAAGCAACACATTTCTGTTTAGCCTTTTGAGTTTTTCCGTGGAAGCCAGGATTCTCTATTAATTATTGAAATGGTTATGTTGTATGATTTTTTTGCAGTGCTGGTAATAATGATTGCCTTATTTACTGTGTTTTTTTTTTTAGGCTCAATAGATGATGTTTTTAACTGCAGTCTGTCACCCAGATCATCTCTGACAGAGCCTCTTTTGGCAGAATTACCATTTCCAAGTGTTCTGGAATCTGAAGAGACACCAAACCAATTTATCTAATTGGACTGAACATTCTAGCTGTCACTTTTATGTTGCAAGCCTGTGCCAGACTGCAGGTTGAGGGGACGAGAGGAGGTGGGAGGTGGGCACTTCCACCCCTTTGCCAACTCCTGGCTCCCCCATGGCTTCTGTGGGGGGCTCCTTTCTCCCATTTCCCTGGGTGTGATGCTGTGGCAGGCCCAATGTAGCTGGCTTCCTTCAAGGCTACGGTTACCTGGATGGAAGGGCTTTGGCTTGTGGCATGCTTTGAACATTTCTGCAAACAGGCAGAGGAAGCCACAGGGTCCTGCCACCCTGAACTTTGCTCAGTACCCTGGCACCCTGGGAATTTTCCTGGAAACCTCTCTGGGAGTCCTCTGACTTGGTTGTCAACCTGTGATGCTTCATAATTCAGGGTTTGCTCTCTGCTTGAGACATCCTTATCCCTCAACCCAGAAAGCATGGGGTTCACAGTGCTCTTCTCTTGCAAACCTGGTGGGTAAAAAACCTGTGCCATCTTTCATCCAGGAGGCAAGTTTGTTTTTCATCCTGCCTGTGTGAAACCTTATAGGAAACATTCAAGGTAAGGTTTGCTGAATGACTGGCCAGGCAGATAGGACAGTAATCCTGCCACCCACAGCCTGAAATGGGAGCTCCCTTGGCCTTTCTCTTCTCCAAGTGGCACATGGAGAATGAGGCCAGGTCGTATAGTACCAACTATGACAGGGGAAGGATAAGGTACATGGCACTATCCTCCTTACTGAAAGTGCATTATGTCAGTTGGGCATTTAAAATAAGCTTTTTGCAATCCTAACATGAAAAGAAAAATAGAAGAAATCTATATAATTACCATACTACATTTTCTATCAATATATTTTTCATCTTATAGCTATGATGGAATTCTTCAAAAGGAAAAAAAACATATCCTACATATAAAAACTTGCATGAATGGATCACTACATTTGCTCATAATGAGGGAGACTTATAGGTTCTGAATATCATTTTTCCGTCTTTTTTTAAAAAAATGTTCCTGTATTATATGTTTGATAACACTACTGATGGTCCTGACATTTACATTTGAAATGTTATGAGGTACATTTGCACAATTAAAACTTTTCCTAGCATTCAACCTCGAGGTCACCAATTCCCTTGTGTGTGTGATCATTCCTTTGTGATTTGCAGGTGGTGTCTTTGCGTGGTGTATTTGCCTTATAACTTACTAAATGACAATAAGAATTGTTTTTAACAGTCACTTTCTCAAGAAGAGCCTTTGAAGAACAGGGCTGTAAAGTATTTGGAGAAAGGAAGATCTGATACTGATCTTTCAGAAAAATAGGAAGAAATGCTTCTTAGTTGCAGGAGAGGATGAGCATTAATTTCAGTAAAAAAATGCAGAACATTAATAATAAAATAAGTTTAATACCAGTGCAAACAAACCTTAGGTGGATATCGAGTATTAAATGCTTCCCAAAGGAAATAGAAACTCTTCACAAAATTGACAAAGGATTTTTTTTAAGTAGCTGAACTGAGAAAAATGATTAGTAATTACCTCAGGAATGAACTAAAGATCTGGAAGGTTTCTTTCATCATTAAAATCATTTTAGTTGACTCTGAACCAAATGCATTCAATTTCCACTTAGCCAAGTTTTATCAACTGCCTATAAGGAAATATGCACTGTGCTACCTACTGTATTTTATTAGCAATATTACAAAGAAGTGACGTTGAGAAATCTGTAAAATTGATAAAAAGTCCAGGAAAGATCTACCTGGACAAAAAAGGCCTCAATCTCATACACATGTGGCCCAATGTGTATGTTTTAACAGTTTAAGATCAATAGAAATCTATAGGACAGTGCTATGGTTGGATATGGTTTGTCCTCATCAAAACTCATGTTGAAACTTAACCCCCAAAGTCAAATGTCAATGGAATTTAGAGGTGGGCCTTTGGGGGCGGTAATTAGGATTAGATGAGGTCATGATGAAGGAGCCCTCATGATTGTATTAGTGGATTTGTACATCCAAAAGAAACCCAAGCAAACTTGCTCTTTCTCTCCTTCTGATGTTGGGCACCTCAGTACCTATAGAGTCCCCACCTGCAGGAGGCCCTCACCAGAACTCTAGAAGATGCTGGCACCATGCTCTTGGACTTCAGATCCAACTCAACCTCCTTCCTTTTAGAAATTTCCTAGTCTCAGGTATTCTATTACAGCAACACACAACTGTATAGATGAACTATATAGATGAGGACCTAAGCAATTTGTCTATTTGTTCAGTTCATTCATTCAATACGAATAATTGAGTGTCTGTCATGATCTGTGCCTTGCATCGAGGTGATCCTGGTGTATAATGGAGCTTAAAATTGACCCTTGTTTTCAAGGAATTTCCAATTGTATTAAAAGAAGATAGAGAACCACCATTTGACCCAGCTATCCCACTTTTCCGTTTATACCTAAAGGACTTAATATCAGCATACTATAGTGATGTAGCCACATCAATGTTCATAGCAGCTCAATTCACAATAGCTAAACTGTGGAAGCAAACTAGATGCCCTTCAAGAGATGAATGGATAAAGAAACTGTGATATATATATATATATATATATATATATATATATATATATATATACGCATACACACACACACACACACATATATACAACGGAATATTACTCAGCCTTAAAAGAGAATAAAATTATGGCCTTTGCAGGAAAATGGATGGAATTGGAGAATATCATGCTGAGCAAAGTAAGCCAATCCCCCAAAACCAAAGGCCGAATGTTCTCTCTGATAAGTGAATGCTGATCCATAATAGGGGGCGGGGCGTGGGGAGAATGGAGGAACTTTGGGCAAAGAAGAGGGAGAAGAGGGAATGGGGGCAGGAAAGATGGTGGAATGAGGTAAGCATCATTACCCTAGGTGCATGTATGACTGCTAATATGGTACAATGCTATATCATGTACAACCAAAGAAATGAAAAGTTGTACTCCATTTATGTACAATGAACTGAAATGTATTCTGCTGTCATGTATAACTAATTAGAACAAAAAATAAAGACAGAGCAAGGGTGTAGCTTAGTGGTAGAGCACATACTTAGCATGCACAAGGCCTTGTTTTCAATCCCCAACACCAAAACAAACAAGCAAACACACCGGGGTACAGGCTTACAAGAACAATAAAATATGTGCTACAAGAGAAGTTCCAAAGGGAAAATGCCCAAGATACCTGTGATCCAGTCTGGGCAATAAAATTAATGAAGTATAACAGCAAAATTTAGTTTAAAACAAACATGGATCGATTTACCCAAGTGATTGATTTATACAAGCTGTCAGTGTCCTTGGAGGCTATTGATTTATTCCAATAAGAATGCAAGTTCAGAAATGATTTACAGAATGAAGGAGCTGTTTTTTTTCTCATTACCTGATGGAAATAATTTGATTTCTGGCTAAGGGATAACACTGCCCAACTTGGTCACCTGCATTAATTGTCAACTTGAATGTATGCTTACTGTTTTAAATATCCAATCTGTACTTGGAGAGCAAAGTTATGACCCTAATGAAGAATTCTAAAGAATATGTGTGTCAGATTCTGAAGGGAGTTTCTAAAGAATTTTAAAAATGCTTCAAGCAATGGAAGCATCATTAAAATAAATTGCTTTGAAGAAGAGAACATTCATGTGCATGAATGAATATATACATTCGTTGGTAGAACAGATTTAAAACAAGTGTCAGCACTTGCGTAGGCTGATGTTCACTACTTGCATAGACCTGAAAGGAGAACTAACAATAGAAGCCATTGATAATAACCCAATGGCTGGCCCAGCCAGCTTCCTCCTTAAGAGTTCAGAGAAGAGAAAACCATAAGAACCAGGGGGACCACATGGACCAGGAAGGAGGTCACAGTTAAAGGGGACTGATAAGATTTTGATAGATTTAATAGTCTTAACTTGATGTTATGGTTTTATTTGGATGAAACAGAAATAAATTTGGTGAATTGCAAGTTACAAGCAGATTTTAGAATGTATCCCCATTACACTAGACTGCATTAATAAAATAGAGGATATCATAGAATTTTCTGGATTTTTCAATAAGATCATAGTAATTATCCTGGGACTACTTATCCACAACCCCTCTTCGTGGCAGCTATGATCTGGATGACACCAAGAACATCTGAATCGGTGATGGTTAATTTTTTATGTTAACTTGGCTGGGCTACAGTGCCCAGATATTTGGTCAATCATTATTCTGGATATTTCTATGGAGGTGTTTTTGGATGAGATTGATTAATATTTAAACTGGTGGGTTTTGAGTAAAGCACTCTTCCCTCTCTTCTGTGGGAGGCCACATCCAATCAGCTGAAGGCTGGAACAGAACAAAAATCTGCCCCTCCCCTAGGCAAAAGGGAATTCTGCCTTTGGATTTGAGATGCAACTTTAGCTCTTCCAGGTGTCTCCAGCCTGTTGGTCTATCTTATGGATTTTGGACTTGTCAACCTCCACAATTGTGTGATCTAACTCCTTAAAACAAATCTCTCAATAGGTTGGTAGATACTCCATATTGGTTCTGTTTTTCTGGAGAATCCTAACATAGTCCTTCAATGAAATTGAGAATATGTTTTGAGTTCATCAATGATAGAGAGAATAAGAAATATTCCATTTTTTTTAACATGAGGACACTTGAAGGAAACATTGCATATTACATAGCTGTAGAAAGTCTTTTGCATAGTCAGGCATGGTGGCACATACCTGAAATCCCAGCAGCTTGGAAGGCCGAGGCAGGAGAATCCTAAATTCAAAGCCAGCCTCAGCATCTTAGTGGGACCCTCTCTTAAAATAAAAAATGAAAAGTGAAAAGGACTGGGGATGTGGCTCAATGGTTAAGCACCTCTGAATTCAACCTCTGATACAGAGAGAGAGAGAGAGAGAGAGAGAGAGAGAGAGAGAGAGAGAGAGAAAGTTCTTTTGCCCAAATATAAAAATTGAGGCAGAGAAACTTCACTGAGTTTCTTTGTACACAAGAGAGCTGGACATCACCTTCTGGGCTTTTGGAAATAGGCACCTGTTGATTTTTGTTTACACATCCTTCATTAGCTTGTTCTCCTAATTCTCCCTTCAATATTTTCTAGTCTCCCTTTCATTCAGGAGATGACCTAGCCAGCCTCCTGTATTATCTAGAGCAATGCTTCTCAAACTGTGCCAAGGAATCTTCTGCAGGTCATGTGACAGTGCAGATCTGGATTCAACCCCTCTAGGTGGTGCCTCAGCTTCTGCATTTATAAAAGATTCCCAGGTGAGGCTGAGGCTGCCCTCACAAGGCTTTAACTTGTTGTTATGGTTCTACTTGGCTCTAAGTCTGTCTCTCTCTAACTTTGTGAGTCACCTAAGAGTCTTGGTAGAAATGCAGAAGCTCAGGCCCCACTGGACAGAGTCCATGTTCTCACAGATGCCCAGGTGTGAGGTGGTCAGGTGCAGGAGGTAGCTCTAGAGTATACCTGGGCCCCTCTAGTCTTTCCTGAAGCTTCAAGTTCTCTTTCCCTACTCCTTACTCTTGGTCTGTGAACTTGTTTACTTCTTTCTGTTTTAAGTAATTCTGCTTCCTACATATTTATTTTTCTCTCCACCTGTTGTAGGCATTCTTCTCCTCGACAGCCAGAATTTGAGTATTCTATGCTTGCTATCTCCTCAGCCTTGCCCCCCATCCTTGTCTTTAGCAGTTCACATCATGTTCTCTCTCTCTCTGTGTGTGTGTGTGTGTGTGTGTGTGTGTGTGTGTGTGTGTGCAGAACTAAATTTATTGTCATAACTTTAGTTGGAAACAACCAGTTAACTTTTAACCCATTCGATAAAACTATTCTCAATTGTTTTGGATCAATGAGAAGCTTGTACAAGGCATATTTGTAACGTAGATGTTTTGATTTCTGGATGATTAACTTATTTTGGCAGGATGATATGGAACTTTGCTGCTCCTTGCCCTGGGAAAAATGTCAGAATTTATTCAAACTTGCGACCAGGCCTGTTCACTCTGCTGTTCAACCCACTCAATGAATCCTCCACCTGCTCAGGTGAAGTCCCAGCTTCTCAGTGTGACCTGCAGGGCCTTCTTCCCCTCTAGCCTCTTCTCAGTTTCCCCCTCGATCTTCTCAACATTTTAACATCAAACTTCAGGGCTTTGGGTTCCGCAGGCTATTACAGGCTCTACCCATATCACCTCTCCCTCTTCACCTGGTCAACCCTACACATCCTCGAGGACTCAGCTCAAGCATCTTTTCTTGCAGGAAGTTATCCCCAGGCTCTTATCATATCCAGGGCTTTGCCCTTAATGTCCCCAGACAGCTCATTTTCAGTGCACAGTCAGCATTAGTTGAAGGAAAGAAGAAATAAAAATAATAATAAAAAAACCCAAAACCTTGCACTCAATCATGAAAAGGGATTGCCTCGGGTGATCAAAATTCAAAGGCGGAAACAGTGCCATACTACTCACAATAATGCAGACCCTCACTGAAACCACATTTTGAAGCAGAAATGGGAGACTATAAAAAGAAAAAAAAAGGATCAGAATAGTAATCAGACAAAAGAACAACACCTTCGATTTGCGTGGTCTCCTATTGACAGATTACGGTAAGGATCGGTATCTTGACAGCTCAGCACGGTGGTGCTAGTACATTCATTGTACAACAAGGAAACTGAGGCTCACAGAGGTACCTGCCTTACCCTAAGGGGTCGAAGAGGGAATATGACGGTTCTTTTGCATCTCCCTCGGTTCAGTGCATACCCCACCATTTCAGCTAGTCCAAGAAGAAACAAATGTAAGATATTAATAAGAATTCACTTTTAAAATTCTATATACTAACTGCTCTATTTTAAAAACACATTTCTCTTAAATTATGCTATGCTAATTAGCTCTACCATTTCCAGACAGTTAATCTGTTATTGGGTGCGACTTTCTTTAATTTAGATGCCACTACTAAATCTTAATTTAGACATGTTCCTTTAAATAACATTGACAGAAGTCTGCCTTCTACTGAGTTTCACCATTCATTGCTCGGAGAGTCTAAGATTTATTATATTCATTTGCTGTGTGGATGGGTCTCTACCCTCAGAAAATTCTAGTTTAGCTCTTCACTTTAGAGATGTTCCTTGCATATATGTTTGGGGTCTTTGGTTGGATGTCTATTCTGTCTCCTTTAATAAACTCCCTTGTTACATCTCCCTCTTTACTAAGGCCTAGGATAGCCCCTCTTAGGATGCGGGGCTGTTGTCGATTCCTTCCTAAACTGTTGCCAGCGGTCCCAGTGTGTTCCTTTGTCTCCTCACAGGAGTGAGTGGTGGCTCTGTTCTAACCTGGAGCTTTTCAATAGTTCTTCAGCACCGACTACGTGTCAGATTACCAGGGAGTTGCCAAGAATATGAAAATAAAGGAATTTCCTCATCCAGTTAAGCATCCCTGACACACATGGGAGTGGAAGGCACCACTCAGTCGATGGGGGATGTGGAGGAAGAACAACTAAATTGATAGTCACAAAGCACTATGATGGGTGCCAGGATCTCATGTCCTGCTAAGGAGATCTGTGACACATAGGTCCCCTCCCCTTGGTCTCTAAGCACATTTTTCACTTGCTGCTTTCTCCCCTGATTTGTGAGCTGGGATACTATGGTTTGGTTCTGAATAGTGTCCCCCATCCCCAGTTTCCTGGTCTCCATGGTGGTGCTCTTGGGACTTTCAGGAGGTGGGATCTAGTGGGAGGTCCTTAGGTCTTTGGGTGATCTGTTCCCCAGAGGCACTGTAGGACCACTGTCTCTTCCTCTGTTTCCTGGCTGGACACAGGATTGCTGGTTCTGACATCCACTCCTGCCATTGGCTTTCCCAGCAATAAGGAGATGCAGTAAAGGGGCACCCTTGCCCAGCCTGTTCTAGGCCTTTGAAACCTCCAAAACCATGAGCCAAAATATACCTCTCTTCATAGGTAGCCTTAGTCAGCCGTTTCCTTGTAGTAACCTGAAACTGACGGATACCCAGGATGACCCCTTGAATAGCATGGAACATCATAGAATCGATGCTTCTCAGGCCCCACTGGTGATTTAGTCAGATCCATGACAACTTTCCCCCCATTTGCTTAAACTGAAATCTATGAATAGATGAAAATTATCAGTTGAAAGACTGACATTCCAGCAGTTGGAGAGGCTGAGGCAGGAGGATGGCAAATTCAAAGCCGGCCTCAGCAAAAGGGAGGTGTTAAGCAACTCAGTGAGACCCTGACTCTAAATAAAATATGAAATAGGGCTGGGGAATGTGGCTCAGTTGTCAAGTGCCCCCTCCACCCCCCCCCCAAAAAAAGTCTGACATTACTTTCTGTTTAATTTCTTCCCCCTTTTTTTGTTTTCTGTCCCCAAATATACAACACAAGAATTGGGAGAGCTCATTGCAAGATCTATACAAATATACGGAAGTAAGGTATCCACAGGAGAAGAGGCAAGGATTAGCTTTCTGCATCGCATCTTTGCGCGGGCCTGGTCTAGCCATCTGGGTCTCCCGACTTAAGTTGCCCAGTACCAGACCTGCGTCTCCATGGCGACGCGTCACAAAGCAGCCGCGTGCCGCCTGCAGAGCCCAGTAGGGCTGGAGCCTCAGCCCGGCTCCACTGCCTCCTCGGCAGGATGGCCCAGCCTGAGTTCATGGCTTCGTGCCCCTCTTTAAACGACCACAAGCTCCAGCCAAGTAAGATTGTCTACCCTGCCTGTCTGCAGACAGGGTTGGGGTCTTTCCTGGGGAAGGGGTAGCGTCCAGCCAAGGGCCTTCGATCTTTAAGGGTGTTGTCTCCCTCTTGGGGATGGGCCCCACTGAGGGACTAGGGACGGCTGGGGAGTCGGGGAGAATGACCATGTTCATGACCTTGTCCCTCTCCAGCCCTTCATACTTGCTGCTAAACCTCCTCTTTGACCTGCCGGTACTTCTTTCTAAAACATCCAGGACATGCCTGCCTAGGAAGGGACCCTAGGGTCAAAAGCAAAGAAGGAGCAGAGAGACTGGGACTCTCAGAAGAGAACAAGATGGGCTTGAGCCCCGCCCCCATGGAGGGTCTGGGAAACAGCCAAGAAATAGGGTTTGTGGTTTGGGGGAGCTAGGTGGTTACAGATGGAGCTAAGGTCTTCAGCCGCACCTTCTGAGTAGGACCATTTCTCTTTCAAAGAGACTCTGTCTGTAAAGATGGGGAACTCTGCATCCTCGTTTTTGCTCCCAGATGCAGCAGGTTACCAGCTCAGCTTTTCGTGTCTGCGGTGGGAGAGCCGCTCTAGCTGTGACGCTAGTGGCATGATTACTGTGTAGTCAGCTACACCGTGGCCTTTCCCTTGGCAATAATGGCCTGTGGCTGCTGTCTAGCTGGGTAATTGTGGCTGCTCGCTGGCTCCAGAGCAGGGAGGAATTGTTCAACTGCAAATTCCCTAGAATTGGGCTCCCGTGAGAGTGAGTGAAATGTGTACTTTCATTTCAATTCATTCTTTGTAAATGAAGAATAGAAAGAGGAAATACTTAATTAGCACAAAAATATCAAATATACTCAGTTTCCATATAATGTCAAGGTAAGCAGAGAGGAGAGAGAAATGCTTTCCCAGGATTCCTGAGGGGTCTCCTTTTAATTTCCTCTTCCTTTTCTAGCTATGCTGTCTTGGTTTCTTTCATTGTCTCCTCTCCCTGTCCTTGGCTGGGAAATGCCAGAGTCTTCCAAGACTTTCCTTGCGAATTGGCATCCTCCACGAGTGGCCATATGCTGCCATAAAGCTTTAAGTGCTTCATAAAGGTGCCTGTGACTCTATTCTGTCTCTAACTTAGATCTTTCTTCCAATTTCCAGACCAAACTATCCAGCTTTCTGCTAGACTGTTCCATTCGGATGTCACAGAAAGGCCTCTAATTCAACATGTGCAAAATTATACTCCTTTCCTTCTCAAACCTTCCAGGCTTTGAGAGACCAGTTAGGAGGAGGGTCCCAGCTTCTGAAATCAGAAGCGGAGGCAGCTGCTTTGATATCTCAATGTGATCACCAGATTTCTTTGATTTGGCCATCAAGTTTTCCTTTCCATGGGCAGGTCTGACTCTTCCCCTCCAGTGTGGGGTCTCTGAGAGCCTCTGTGTACTACTCCATCTTCCACTGCTCGGACATTCACCTTCTAAAAGGTGGGCTTGATGTGGCACTGCTCAATTTTGGTCTAAAAACAGGATAAAGTGGTTGACAATGATGGTTAACTGCTGATGAGCAGTCTCTGTAGACTGGACACTCAGGTGCAGTTTATTAATTTCTCATAGCTGCTAGAACAGAACCACAAACTAGTGGCTTAAAATGACAAAAATTCATTCTCTCTTGGCTCTGAAGGCCTGACATCCAAAATCAAGGTGTACACAGGGCTGCAACCCCTCTGGAGGCTCCAGGGCAGAATCTTTCCTACCTCCTGCTTCTGCTGGCTGTCAATATTCTTGACTTGTGGATACATCAATGTGGAGGTCACATTGCCTTCCTCTTCTAAGGACATTTATAATTGCATTTCAGATCCATGAGTATGATCCATGATGACTGCTTTATTTTGCAATCCTTAATTGCATGTGCAAAAAAAATCTCTTTTCCAAATAAAGTCAGATTCACAGGTTTCTGGGATTTAGGATATGCACATATCTTTTGGGGTCCATCATTCAGCATACTACAAGCATGTACACTTACCAATGCCTTTAATCCTCAAAATAAGGTAAGGTTAGGATTAATAGATGTCATCAATACCTGCCTTGTCCATCAGAATAAAACAACATAATATATATGGAAATACTTTGTAAAGTATAATACATATACATATTAATTATATTAGTTTTATAATATTTTCAAAGCTTTATGAATTTATTTTCATAACTGTGAACACCTTTGGTGGGTCCTAAGTTGAGCAGAGTAGGCTTAGGCACAGGGGGCCCCACTGAATTATCCTTAGTCATTTCCTCTTTATTTCAAATTTCAAATTTGCGTTTGAAATTTGCTGTCTCGGATTCTCATTCTGCCTGTTAAATCAGCCAAGAACATCTTTAAGTTTCCCTGTCAAACTTCTACCAGATAAAATACAAGTTCAGAAAGCTGTCTATGTGGTGAAATCTCTCCTTGACCTGTCCTTGCTGTCCCCTCTTCTCCTTTGAGGAAGAATCACATGCTCCTCATGGTTCCTGTGACACACAATCTTAATCTGAATGTTCATAGGATACATAGCTCCTCCACTAACTGTTAAGTTCTCCAAAGCCAGGACAAGATGTGTGTCCCAGTGCGGAGCACAGGACCTGGTCCATGGGAAGGCACAGGAAATGAGAGAGGAAGGAAACTATCAGCAAGACAGAAGTGAGAAGGGTAGAGGGAAGTGTGGTCTCTGCAGAGATCCTTCCTGGTCCTCCTAAAAGCCCAAGGCAGAGGTTCCAATCAAACTAAAGGAGGCTTCTTTAAGAGCAGCTACTCAGGATTTTTTTCCCCTTCTCCACATTTGCAATTCTTTTCACAAAGATCATTTAAATCCACTATTGGAATAAAATGCTTTCAAGCCTAAAGTGATTCCCACCAAAGCAGGAGTCTCCAAGGATAATGCCAAGGCAAGAGTTCTCCCTCGGGGATGCTTCTGGGTGGACACGAAGCTTAAACCAGTGTGAAGGCAGCAGGGAATAGTCACAGATGAGCAGATCCCATTCCCTGCCTGGGGCCAGGGCCTGTTAAATTAAAAACGACCTGGCTGGGAGAGATGGGGAGATGAATACTAAGAAGTCCACAGATGACAGAAACCCTTAATGTTTAGCCAGGGCTGTCTATGCTAGGCAGGAGGCAGATAGCTTTTAAGAATATTGGGAAATTGAAAGATAAAAGGATACTTTACTGTCATTTTAATAGGATACAGGCTTGGAAACAAATTCAGGCAATGGGAATAGCTCCAGTATTCTTGGGATGAGATGATGAGATCCTAGACAGTACCTATTCAAAAATTAGAGACATTCCAACCCAGTTATTTATGAAATGTAAAAAGCAACAGGTAACTGCCCAGATATTAAAAAAATGAGAGAATGAGTAAATTTAAAATATATATAGTAGCCCCCACTTATGCACTCCCAGTGCATAGCCCTGGGTAGCGCTGACTCCATACACGAGCATTGTGATACTGCAGCTACATGACTTAACGTGCAGGTAGTGCATACGGTGTGGACACGCTACACAAAGGGGTAATCACATTTCCAGCAGGATGGAGCTGGATGGCATGAGATTTCATCATGGTGCTCAGAATGGTGCACAATTTAAAACTTCTGAATTGTTCATTTCTGGAATTCTTCATTTCATCTTTTTGAACTATTGGTGTTGATCACAGGTATCTGAAACCATGAAAAGTGAAACTACAGATAAGGAGGGACAACTGTATTCTCAAGTAATTTGGTGATACCTTGTTAAAAATAGGGAGTTGGGGTAGATCGGCTTGGGTGCTGCTAAATTCTCAGCTGGTATCTTTCTGGAGCCATCGACAGTATTTGCCATGGATGATTCCTCCCTCCTTTGGAAGCACTTTCTTCTTTGGGCTTTCAGGACACCACATGCTCCTGGTTTTTCTTCATGCCCAACTGACTGTATTTTTCTCTGGCTGTTCTTCTTCTTGACCTTCGAGTGCCCAGGCTTCAGCCCTGGACTTCTCTTCCAACTCCACTCTGTCCCTCAATGCTCTTACCCACGCACATAGTTGTCAATAACTTTTACACCACTGAATTTTACAATCATTATTACAAAGGGTGAATTAGCATTGCACCAGGAGTGTTTTGCCCCCAAGACACTGTTAGTCGGGACACTTGGTGTAATATGAGCCCATTTTTGTAAAACAAAATGGTGAGAACTAAATCACAATTTGCCTCTGTATTTATATACGTACACATAAATCCTCATGTGATTGCATATACAAGTATGGAGAGATGCAGACAGGATTGTTAACATGGCCTAGCCCAGAAAAGGATAATGAAGGGTGGAGAGGAAAAGCAAAGAGGTGCCCGGGGTAAGAGCTGGCATGTCTAATATGAACTCCTGTGTATAAAATCATTCCGTATGTGCACAGATATACCTGATGTAATGGAAATGGGTCACTAGAAAGCAATAATGAGCAAAGATAGAATTTCCAAGGACTTCCTCCTTCATGGATTTTTATGTTTGGTTTGAATTCTTTAAAACAGCGGGTGCGAATGCTTGGGGAAAACAATAGGCCATTCTTATTTTGAGATAAACTCAGATAATTAAGTTGTGCTTCCCTTCTCTCCTATTCCAGGCCACCACTTGGCCTTTATGGCTCTTTAGACTCTCATATAAAATCACTATCCAGAAGGTTCCTGTCTTTTGAGAAATTATTTTAATTGTGCAACATTCAAGTGAGATATTCGGGTTCACCCCACTGAAAACGGCTTTATTGTCCTTTCAGCAGGTGGTACCGACTGGGATTCTTATGCCACCAGGATGAAGACAGATTTCACCCGCAAGACAGGAGCAGTGCCCGCTTTGATCCGGTAGATCCCCCTTCAGTCAGCCCGACAGACACTCAGAGACTTTGTTCACTTGTCTTTTCGGATTTAGAATCCTAAACAAATAGAGTAACTGGAGAAGGCTTATAAAAATGCAGTGGAGTAAGGCCATTGTGCTCACGGCTCCCCTCCAAGCGTCTTGAAAGTTCCTCCTCTCAAACAGCAGCCAGACCTCCCACAGGACCACCGAGAAAATGGCCCCACTAGTTCTTTATGATGTTACTGCACATTGTGTTTACCACTGACCCAGCATTTAGGTTCACTGACGACTGTGCCACCTGAGCACCACGCATGAATCAAAGCCACTCCCTGTTATAGAAGCAGGCCTCCACGGCTGAATGAATGGCTGAGTGGATGAATGAATGCTTGCTGTCCCTACTGTCACCAACACTCATCTCTGGAAGCTGAAGGAAGGGCACAATCCCCCTCTCCTTACCTGCACTCCTCCAGCTACAGCAGTGTTGGCTTGCAACTTCTCCACTCCCACCCAAGCTGAGGGCTGTGGGGATTTCTAGCCACCAGCTGCCTCTCTGAGCTCAGCAGGAGGGGAGTGCCAGGATATCCCTTTAATTGCGTCCCAGGTAGGTAGGTGTGAAGTCGGAAGGAGAGCCTTCCTTGCTTGTGTTGACTCTGTGAATTGTTTCCCAAAAGGAGGATCTTTTCTCCTTGCAAGTTCAAGTTAGTGAGAAGTCAGATGAATTAGGGGCACGTCCAAGCCAAGGCTGACCCCCGTAGCTCTGCCCCACCCTCACCCTCAGGCGAGTAACAAATCATCCACAGCTCAGTTTAATTGGTGGAACGGGACTGATGATCCCTAAGGGAGTGTTTTGAGGAGGAGGACACAGGTAAAGGACTAACACAAGGGGGTTACTCAGTAATTTTCTTTCATTTCCCCTAGTAAAATATGATAGGCTCTCAAAAGTGCCAAGCTCCCAGACTCCCGATTTCTGAGTTACTGGTTATCCCACGGGGCCACAACTAACTCCTTAATTGGGACATTTATCATTCGATTGAAATAAATTTGCCAGGTTCACAGGCGGTAACAGTTTTCTAAAGAAGAAGCATTTGGGTTAAAAGCCAAAAATAAAGATGTACTTGGAGAATCTAAGTCAGTGATTTTCAAACTCACATTTTTTTTAAGTTCTCATACATTTAAATAGCTGCAGAAAATAAAACTTCCAGTCCATCCTAAATATTGACATTTTAAAATAAAAATTTTAAATGCAACCAATGCACAGTCTAAATGCCCTAGCAAATTAATACTCATTAGGATTCTTTTTTTAAAAAAAATACTCAAACAAGCTCTTTTTTGAAAACTCATTTCATTCCTTTTCCTTCTTCCACTCCACTTCCTCAATAGAATTTTCCCCTGCTATAATATATTTTTTTGCTTGAAAGCAACTTACGGTCCACTCATAGTTCTTTGCAACTGTTTCAATATTTTAGTTGAAGTGAATTTTTAAACATGCTATGTGACTTTAAGTATCATCATCATTATTTTTAGTACCCAACTGCTCAGAGCAATAAATAAATTACAATGTTAATAATAATAATAATACTAAATACAAAAATTAATTTTTGAAACTATATCCCCACCACTATATATCTATTTATGTATATATTTTTCTTTCCTTTTTTTTTTTTAGATGAGGTCTCCCTGTGTTGCCTAGGCTGGCCTCAACCTCCTGGACTCAATCCTCCTGCCTCAGGCTCCCTAGTAACAGGGAGTCTAGGTGTGCACCACTAGGCCTGGCTTAGAACTGCATCCTAAAAAGATAAATGGGCAGTTTTGCTTTCAGTTAGTTCATGCATCCAATTGTGAGTGTTATTATTTTTAGAATGACCCATATGTAGCATCAGTTTTTCTGTTTCTTTTCTTTTTTCCATTTTATAGGTGTTAGACTTGAGAAAGTTTATTCATATATATGAAAAGGAGCTTCAGCATAGCAGTGTCATCCAGTGCTCTGAACTTTTTTTTTTGTAGTAATAGGTAGGTATTCAACCCAGCGGCATTTTACCATTGAACCACATGACCAGTCTTTTTTTAAATTATTTTTTTTTTATTTGTTATTTTGCAACAGGTTCTTCCTAGCTTGCTTAGGATGACCTTGAACTTGTGATCTTACTGCCTTAGCCTCCTGGGTGAATGGGATTGCAGTTGTGTGCTACTGAACCAGGCTCAGCACTTTGAACTCTTTCTTTGTTTTTGCTGAGTCAGAAATCACAAGGTGATTTTAATGACGATCCTCCTCCTACTTGGTGGAGTACTCCTCTGATTTTATTGAAATCAAGTAATGAGATGATTTGTCATCCACTTATTGAGTTGTTCCCTATTTCAGTTTCTGAGAAATATCCCAGAAGGCATGGCTTGAACAAATGACCATTAAGTTACACCGTTACCCTCTCCCTCGAAGGTAGCTAGCTTGCTTAATATTATATGGTTTGGAACACAGAAACATTAATTTCAATAAATGTTTTCCAACACAATATTCTTTGTATAAAAGACTTTTATCATCACTTACTTTAAATATATTCTTATCAAAATCTTGGAGCTGAAGATTTAGCTCATACAGTTTATATCACCTATAACTAGTTGGTTAAGTCAGTCCTATTTGTCAAACCAATGAGCGAAATTTGGTTCACTCCCTGTCAAAACCTACCTACTCTTTCAGTTCATATAAATGTTAATATATGTTTTGAGGAATGTTATGAAAATAACTGAAAAATAAATTATTGGATATATCTTTTATAGGGAAGGTTATAAAAATAGGGGAAGTAACAAAAGATTCAAGTCTGATAAATTAATTATATCTAAGTAACAAAAATAATGCATAAAATGTGCAAGTTACCTGTGAAGCAAGGGGTCTGATAAATATATGCTTTTTTTTTTTAAAGTTAAATGTGTTCTCATGTCTGCAGAACTCTGGTGCTTGACTTTCAATAATCATTAAATTATAGTCACACGTGAAAGGAAGAGTTTCATTGATTTCATTAGACATCAGGCATTTCCTATGCATTTAATGAAGGAAAAAGTTATACAGTGTGAAAATTAATTGGTCTGACAAGCCAGCATATGTTTTTACTTACTGTTAAGTATTTTATTTTTAAATAATTTTTTATAGCATAAAAGGAAATAAGGATTGGCTACACTGGAGTAAATATTTCAAAAAATAAGATTTAAATACCTTACTAAGTGATGAATACAAGATCTGGAAAAAAAAAACCCCACAAGATTTTAATCTACCAGTTTTACCCAGTAATCTTTAAAAAGTGTGATGTCCCAGAAAAGACTCTAGTTATATTTAAAGCGATCATCATCACCAACTTGTACTGCTTCCCCACTCGACGTGCTTTTCTCTCCAGCTAATGACATTTCCCAGGGATTTTTTTTTTTAAGCTGAAAAAAATGCTTATCTTTAAGTACATGAGGAAAAAAGCCATTTGGAGCATTCTACATGCTCTTAGAGCCTCTCCCTGAAGATGGATGAGTAGTTGGCAATTAGTAGGAGACAGAAAACTGGGCAGGACTTTGAAGCACGCCTACTAAAATCTATAACACCCCACACAGGTGGCAATACCCCACTAAAATCTATAACACCCCACACAGGTGGCAATACCCCGGTTACAGCACGATCCCTCACTCTGCAGAAACTCCTAGATAAGACAAGCCCTGGACAAGGGTGTGGAGCTCCAATGGCCAGGAGGCGTCTGTGAAATGGCTCTGGCCAAGCTGCCCCTCTCTGGAGGCAATGCACCCTAGAAAGATCCTACTGATAATATAGGAAAGAGAGCCCTGGGAAAGGGGCGTGGTAAAGAAGGAAAGGACTTGCTTGCATAGTCAGCACACCCCCCACCCCTGCCACCGATCAGGCAAACATAATTTAGGAAAAAAAATATTGAGAAATTGAGATCTGAAAACTAATTCCTTTAAAGCTATTTCTGTTGAGTCTCTTTTGGAGAATCTCCAGTTTATATCTGAATGACAGGAAAATCATCAATCATCCAGATGTGCCCAACTTCCCAGATGTTTGTTTCTTTCGAACACATAAATCTGCTCAGACTCTTAAATTTTTTTTTTAAAGTCAATGTGAACTATTTTAAACACACACAAAGGAATAAACACAATCACCATCTATGACAATAAACATACTGGATTTTGTCAAGATAAATTCAAGGCATATCATTTTAATTCTGAATATTTTCTATGTATCAAAATAGAATCCCAAAATCGGATGCTTTAAAAATATAATTTCATTATTTCATCCTCAAAAAAAATCAGTCCCTTAGTATCGAATAACCAGTCAGCAATCAGATTTATTCCAAAAATTTGTCTCAAAATTTTCAAAAGGTTTGAAGTAGAATCCAAAGTCCACACATTACTTTTGGTTATTATGTCTCCTTTCTCATTTAATCTACCTCTGCACTTTTTTTTTCCTCCCTGACCATTTTTTTTTCTGAAGAAACAGAATCATTGTTTGGAATTTTTCTGATTCCATCCCCATCGTGTGTTTTAAAATATTTCTCTTCTCTTCCATTTCTTGTAATTCAATATTCTGCAGTCTTCATTTGATTCAGATTCCATATTTTGGCAAAAGCATTTAATAGGTGGAGGTGAGTATATTCAACCAGAAGTACATAATACCCGGTGAACCCCTCCTTTTGAGTTCTTGGTGACATGGCTGATCATTGCCTAGATGCATCATTTCATTGAGGACTTGCAAGCCAAAAATGAACATCCTAATTTGCTTCTTTTTGTCTCTGGAATTAATCTTTTCCTTACCAACTATGTGGTTAGATTGAAGTAATTTTTGTCTATAATAGTATCTTTAAAAAATATAATAAACTTAGGTTGTTATTCTTAATTTCATTTTAGATCCCTGTACATTTGCTAAAGCCATCCTAAGATTGTCACAGAATTGTTTCTTATCAGGGGAACCCTCAAATTAAATTATATCTGGCATCAAGTCTTAAGTTAACCCATCTTTAAAAAATATATCATTAATCAAATGATTTGACATGTGCACTGTTGTGAGATTTGGCATTTAATCCCTTACTCTATTTTCTACTTTTTTTGTAGTCAAAAAAGTATCAGAAGATTAGGATATGCATATGCACTTAGTGATCCCATTCTGAATACACAATACAGTGACGAGTACGTTTGGAAATCATATTCTAAGGAAAATACCATAAAAAATGGGTCTTCAAGAGGATTAAGGAGACACAAAAAAGTAAGCCAATCAAGTAAGATAATAGCACTATATGTGTCGAATTTAATACTGTGTCAACAATCCATGAGAATAAGAGTTTGAATACGTCACAAACACTCTTCACTTTCTTCTGTGATGAGCTATATGGTCCTCTGGGACAATATCCTTCCTACCTTCTCATCTTTATTTCTAACTATCTTTTCTCTATCTCTATTTCTCTGTTTTGTTGCAGAACATTTTTATCATCCCAGAAAACGAAACAAAACAAAACAAAACAACTCATGCCCATTAAAGAGTTACCCCCCCCAAAAAAAAAAAAATCCCTGTCACCTTCCCCTTAGAAACCACCTATTTGCTTTCTATCTCTAAGAATTACCTATTCTGGATAGTTTACATGTGGAATCATACAACAGGTGACCTTTTGTGCCTGACTTCTTTCACTTAGTGTAATATTTTTGAAGTTCACCTATGGTGTGGCAAGTACCAATACTTTCTGTGATTGAATACTATTGTATGAATAGGCCACAATGTATTTGTCCATACCACCCTGTTGGATGTTTGGGTTGATTCCACCTTGTAGCTATGGTGAATAGTGCTGCTATAAATAGGTAGGCACAAGGTGTTTTGTGCTCTCTCAAACCTCCCTGACTTGTATCACTCTTGCCTTCCTCTAGAAAAGCCTTTTCCTTTCTACTAAGGAGCACTGCCCTATATTTCTTCAAGGCTCATTTTAAAAAGAGCCATCTCCCATCCTCTGCCGGAAGAAAAATAACCATTTTTTTTCTGCTGTTTTCTTGGCACTGTACACCCTTCTTCCATCTCAGTCATAATAAAAGGTTTCATTTACCTGGTACCTAGGATGAGGCTCTTGCATGCATTGAAGCGATGACAAAGTGGTAGAATGGACAGTATTTGATGACTATAGGGATGTGAAAGATGAAGAAGAGAGAGGGAGGAGGATGTTCATATTTCTCTCTCGGAGGCTGGGTGTGTGCTGACGCTGTTTTCTGAGCTGGAACAAGGTGGAAGACCAGGTTTGATGGGGAAAGGAATAAGAGGGAATGGGAGTTCTGGTGAAGATCTGTTTGGTAGACAGGCAGCTGCACATAGAGGTCTGTAGCTCCTGTGAGTGAGAAGCTGGAGAGGTAAACTTGGGAGTCCTTAGAACACACACACATACCCCATCTAACTTGGTTCCTCATGGCATCCATTCATTACCATCTATATGTGTCTTAAGTATTTTCATTAAAATCCTAAAATAAATATGAGAGAGTTAATTACAACATTATGCTGTATTTGTATGCATATACATACAAATAGGCATATGATTTTCATTTATCTAAGTGCTATCCAAGGCTCTCACCCTGAGAGGTAGCATGGCTGCCTCCCTGTGTTCTCTCAGCCAATGAGAGCTGGTGGCCAACTGTCCTTTGTGCTCTCAGCCAATGAGAACTAGTGTTATAGATGGTCCTTTGTACTTTGAGCCAATGAGTTTCGGCAAGCCAGATTTGTTGACCCTACTGATCTGGTCACTGAGAGCCTCAACAACTGTTACCAAAGAGAAATAGCAATATAATTTCAATATCATTTCCCATGATCTTGCTGAACACCACTTAGAGAATGGTCCACGAGATGCACCCTGAATCTGAATCCTAAAGGCTTTTTAAATGGCACTGTGGGTATGTAATCAACAAAATCCAGACTTGGAACCTCTATGCATCAATAGCTGCTTCAATAGATGCTGGCATATTTACAATTGGTTTCTTCAGTAGATAAATGATAAGAGAAAGAAGGGGATTAAGAGGGAACCTGAAGATTAAAAGGGACTTAAAAGATAATTTGGGGGCTGGGGATGTGGCTCAAGCAGTAGCGCGCTCACTTGGCATGCGTGCAGCCCGGGTTCAATCCTCAGCACCACATACAAACAAAGATGTTGTGTCCGCCGAAAACTAAAAAATAAATATTAAAAATTCTCTCTCTCTCTCTTTCTCTTTAAAAAAAAAAAAAAAAAAAAATGTGTCCTTTCCCATCTTTAAAAAAAAAAAAAAAGATAATTTGGAACAGTATGTATATATAACTATTCCCAGGAACTTGGGCAAAGAGAAGGGTTTCTTTACAAGGTAGAAGAAATAAAGACAGCTACCCAGCAGAGAGGAAGTCACTGAAGTTTCTAGAAGTGAGGGTCGCTGGAGTGCTGGGCTGGAGCACACTACAGGGAACTGGATCTAGCTACCCAAGTGGGTTGGGTCCTGCTGGCAGCACTGCAGATACTCTCATCAGAGATGCCAGGGCAGGTGTGGCGGATGGGAGTTGGTGTGCAGAGCTTCTCTCCTGACGGCTTCCATTTTCCTAGGGAGCTAGGGAGTGAGGTCATGAAAGAGGAAGATGGCAGCAGGGAGTGCAGGTTTCAAGTTTTATAATCATAGAATTGCTTTGGAGGTAAAGAGGAGACAGTGCCTTTTCTCCCCTGACCCCTACAGGTCTCTGCCTGTGAGTCAGGGTTTCTCTATGGGATGTTTCTCTCTGGGACTACCAAGGGGAAAGCAGCCACTTGTCTCTGCTCTTTTGGGAACAGGTAGCCATAACTAGAATAGTATGGGTTTTCTCCCTTTTTTGGTCTTATCTGTGGGAGAATTCTTTTTAGAAGCACATTTTTTTTGGTGCTTGCAATCACATTTTTTTTTTCATCAGTGTGAAGAGTCAAAGAAATGCACAACAGCTAGGTAAACTAATGGATCCCATTAACAGGCTCCTTGCACTCAGGCAACCAGAGAGTTCTAACTGGATATAAAGGATTTCAGAGACTATGTCCACACCAGTGCTCGTATTCTTGATTCCATTAGGTGAATCTGTATCAGTTTTGTTGAAAATTGTATTTGCATTGATAGGGCTACATTGAATGGACACTACCTCCAGAGCAACTAAGTGAGACAAGAAGGGGCTGCGTTCCTTGGAAAATTCCTGCTTCTATGGAAGAAATTAAGAAGGCAATAGCAAATCAGTTTGTTTCCCACACCAAGAGAGATTTTGTGGATCTAGACAAAGGTAAACGTGTTTGTTTTCCTCTGGAGCCTGATCATGTTCTGGTCAATGAGTTGCAGTAGTTAGCCGCATGGTTGTGGTCCCTTCCCTTGAGGAACTCACAATCTAGACATGAAACAGGAAATGTCATGTGCAAAAACAGTCAAGCATAAACAGGTGCATGTTTTAAGAAATGCAGGTTGCTGTGGGCACAATATAAAACATCATGAGATGAAGTGGGAGGTAGAAGTGGAGGTCAGGAATGTCTTCCCTTCTGGACCTGAAGGATGAAGAGGAATGAGCCAGGTAAAGATGTAGGGGGGAGAGTGTCACTTTTGTCTTGTGAAGGCATAGAGGAACATTTGAGGAACTAAAAGGACTTCATGTGTAGAGATGAAGTCAAGGGCAAGTGGGAGGAATGAGAGAAGAAATCAACACAGGCAGAGAGAATTCAGTTTGAAAGGGCGATGTACAGGAGTTTATCCCAGGAGCAATCAAAAGGTTCATATTAGAGTGGCGATATAGTTCAGATGTAGACTCTAGCATGAAGGGGGTGGTCCTACTGAGAGGAAGGAGGCCACCAAGAGGTTGTCAAAACAGTCCCTGGGGGAGAGCGGTGCCTGAAGCAGGGCTGTGCAGTGGGGATGAAGGAGTGGCACCAGCAGGATGATGAGATGGGCACTTCAGTCCACATCATCATGGTGGAGGATGGTTTACCTGTTTAAGACAGTGTACCACCAGTGTCCACTCCAGTGTCTGATTCATCATAAGCATGAAAAGAAATATTGGTAGAACAAATGAATGAACATAGGGTTGAGTGACTGATGGATGAAAGGGATAAGGAAGTCAAAGGAGCCAGCTGTCTGACTGAGGATGGGATGGGATGGTGTGGTACCTTTTGTAGACAGGTATAAAAACAGTAGAGGGTTAAGCAAGGCCCATTTCATTTTCTCTGTAGGTAAGAGGTAGAGTCTAGCACTCTCTTCATGCTGCCTCCTAGAAAAACACATGCCTCTCTCTGGAATTGGACTTTGGCTATACAAATCTTCCCCTGCAAGAATCCAGATTCTCCCATGATTCACTTGGCTCTGCCCTTAGGATTCTGTAGCTGGAATAACATTTGCCTTAGTTTTCTGTAGGGCAAATGGAGATGATGCGATGACTGTCGCCATTTCTCAGGGGCCTGAAATCAACTTTGTGGAGTCAGACCCATTTTCCAGAAATGAATATATACCCATACAGTGCAATTTTGGTCTTTTATATAGGCAAGAAATTTGCTTCATGAGAATTCATGAAAATTGATCGTAGGTATTTTAAAACTCTTCCCTCTAGTGGAGAATGCAGTGCTCTCTGATTGGCTGCTCCAAGCCTTATGACAAAATGGTGGTTGGAGCCTGGTGCTCTCCCACCTCTTTGGTAAGAACACATGGCCCTGAGGAAGCTTGACAGCCATGTGGATTTTAAACATAAACTGAGGAGCACGGAGGGTCCCCATCTCCCTGAGACTCTGGAAGGCAAGGGAGGATCACAATGCCTATGTTGTCCTCTGTCTCCACCTTCATTCCTGTCCCCTCCGTCTCAACAGCTCAGTCCACCCTGGAGAACTCAGGATGCTCCTCCCCTCTCCCTGAACAGGAGCTACTCTGCTCCAGTTTTCTGGCTTTTCCTCCTAAGTCACCTTTCCGTCTCTGGTCGTCCTTGTCCACCCCCCACCAGCGTTTACTCGGCTCTAGTGCAGTTTAAAATACCAAACAAGAACAAGAGCTTTCCTGACTCACATCTCTGTTTGGCAACTGTGCATTTCTCTGATTCTCTTCACAAAAACTGCTAATGTTTACTCTAACCCCTTAGTTTTTCATAATTTAACACACTGAATCTTCATAACAAGCTATGAAGTTATCACCCCCAATCAAAGATGAGAAATCTGACTCAGAGGGGGGAAGCAACCTGCCCATGATCACCCAGCTAGTGACAGGTGCAGTCTAGGATATGAACCCTGGTAGTCTGGCTCCCCTTGTCAAAACCACATCCCTAGCTGGGCACACTGGTGCATGTCTATTGTCCGACCTACTCCAGAGGCTGAGGTGGCAGGATTGCTTGAGTCCAGGAGCTCGGGACCAGCCTGGGCAATATAGCAAGGCCCCATCTAAAACAACAAAGCAAACAAAAACAGGAACATCTACGTCTTTCAGAGTTAAATTATATATGCTATTTCCAATTCTTGTTGATCACTATTTTTAAGACTAAAAGTTATTTTTATTAAACAAATACATGCATATATTTAAGTGGTTACTCAGACATATAAAGAAATCACAATGGTTCCTGACCTGCCACTCTCCACCGACACCCTTACCTGCCATTAGTGATCAAATTTAATCCTCTTAACAGTTTCTTCTTATGTGATTCCCCATAATTTTAAATACTGCTGCTATTTTTAAGTCACCAATTTTAGGCATTATTACTGATCCTGCTGTAGGTAGTGTTGGATCTGGTACTATAACTATTTCTCTTTCCTCCTCCATTTAGCCTTTCAGTAGAATTATATTCCAAATTTTTGGTTACATTATATCATTACTGCTTACATTATGATTATAATGACAGGACGTATTATGATCACATAATATGATATGATTATGTAACATTTATCACTGAGCCAGTGTGTATTACATGATTATTATTTTTTGTTTATTTTTACCATTTAATATTTGACTTTGTTTCCACATACCTCATTTTCTATGTGCCTGTCACTATTTTTTTCCCCAAATACTTTGTCATACACTTGCTGAGATTTTTTCCAAACAGTACGTTCTGTCCATTCTAATAGTTCTCCTGGAGATCCTCTGATCCGCCCCCCACCCCTCTCTCTGCCATCATTCTCCTCTAATCTAGGCTAGTTGAGATTAGTTAGTCTAACCATTAAAATATATGCCTACATTTATTTTATGAAAGTAACTTTTAATTCTTAAAAATAGTGATCAACAAGAATTGAAAATAGCATATGTAATTTGACCCTTAAAGGAATTTTAACTGTGAAAGACATAGATGTTTCTGTTTTTGTTTGCTTTGTTTTTTTACATGGAGTCTTGCTGTATTGCCCAGGCTGGTCCTGAGCTCCTGGACTCAATTAGTCATTCAGTAGATTTGCCACCCAACTGGGCCCCAGGACCTTCTTTTTCATCATTCTGGAAATTTTCTTTTGTATCTTCCCTGCAATAGATCCCCCGTTTCCTGAGTCTACATCTTTCTCTTTCTTATCCTCCTTTTATTTTGCTGAAGCACATCTTCCAGTAACTTCCTACAAACAGGTACAAGGGAGAAATGTTTTTGCCAATCTGGGAAAGTCTTTTTTACTTTGCTACATCTGTTTGATAGTTTGGCTGGATATAGATTCTGGGTTGATGATTATTTTCCCTCAGAACACATTCTTCCAAATATGTTCTAGCATCTAGGATACAGAAGACTGATGATATCTTAATTTCTGATCCTTTTGTATTTTTTTTCTTGGAAACTTTTTAAAAAAGTTCAGAGCTTCTTTGGCTCAGTTTTTCAGAAGATAAATTTCTAGTTAGGAAGTGTTATGGCTTGGATATGAGGTGTCACTGGAAGGCTCCTGTATGAACGCAGGAATGTTTGAAGTGAAATGATTGACTCCTGAGAGCTGTAACTCATCAGTTCCTCCTAGTTTGAATGGACTGGCTGATACCTGCAGGCAGGTGGGGCATGAGTGGAGGAGGTGGGTCACTGGGGGTGTGCTCTGCAGGGGTGCATCTTCCCTGTGTCCCCTTTTCTCGTCTCTTTCTGTTTTCCAACCCCACCCTGAAATGAGCAGCTTTTCTCCACTGGGCTGTTCCCCCATGATGCCCTGCCTCCTCTTGGGCCGAGAGCAATGGAGTTGGCCATCTGTGGACCGAGACCTCTGCAACTGTGAGCCACAAATAAACATTTTCTCTTCTAAGTTGTTCTTGTTGGGCATTTTGGTCACATCAGTGCAAAAGCTGACTAAAACAAGAAGTGTCTTGTCTTAGTCACTTTTCACTGCTGTGACTATAGGACCAAATCAGAACAACTGTGCAGGAGGAAAAGTTTATTTGAGGGCTCACGGTTTCAGAGGTCTGAGTCGGCTCCATTCCTCAGGGATGAGGTGAGGCAGAACATCATGGTAGAAGTGAGTGGTGGAGGGAAGCAGCTCACATGATGATCAGAGAGCAGAGAGCAAGAGTCTCTACTGCCAGATACAAATATGCACCACAAAAGCCATACCCCAATTCCCACCTCCTCCAGCCACACCCTACCACTTTGATTACCATTCAGTTAATTCTTATCAGGGGACTAATTCACTGATCACGTTAAGACTCTTATAACCCAAACACTTCTCCTCTGAACCTTCTTGCATTGTCTCACATGTGAGCTTTTGGGGGACACCTCACATCCAAACCATAACATGTCTTAACTCATTTTCTGCTGCTGTAACAGAGTACCCAAGACTGGGTAAATTATAAACAAAGAAGATTTGGGGCTAGTGGTTCTGAAGGCTGGGAAGTCCAAGATTAGGGGCTGCATCTGGTGAGGGCCTGCATGACCATCATAACATGGTGGAAGGCATTGCATGATGAAAGAGCACATGAAAGCAAGAGAGGAAGGGTGGCTTCCAAATTTATCAAGAGTCCACTCCTGCATTAACTAACCCAATCCCCCATAATCGTATTAATCCCTTCTGCCCTTGTGACCTAATCACCTCTTAAAGGTCCCACCTCTTCATACTGTCACTGTTGCAACTACATTTCAGTATGAATCCAGAGGGGACTTTCAAACCACAGTAGGAAGGGGCCGTCATATGACTGCATGGGTTAAGAAGGTGAAGCAAGGACCCACTCTGCATCCAAGCTTCCAGCCAGGCCTCTGATTCCAGTCCTGAGCTGCCGCAGTCTGGCTGGGCACACAATCACGAGCCACCACACAGCTTGTAGATTCAAACAGCAACTCTTTATTCCCGAACTCACACCAGCCGTCTACAATCACGTTCT